GGGGCCCAACAGAATCAATTACTTTCAGTAAAAACTTTGTAGGCATTACATCAAGTGGGCTGGAGGACATTCTCATTTGTGATACTGTTTTTAAAAGCTCAGACAAGTCGATAGGATAAAACTGGTTAAAACTCTCTTGTTGCTGGTGAGGGACCTCTGAGTAAGAGGCCGTGGGTGTAATAGAGGCTCTGATTGACACCACCTTATTGGTAAAATAAGATAAAAACAATTCACAGTCATCATTACTTCCAGCTGAGGCGCAAGGAGGGGTTGGGTCTAGCAGCTGATCCACACAGTCTTAAACAGTCCGTGATCCGCGCCGAGACAGTGGGATCGCCAGGCGGGAAGGATAGGTAGAGTTGCGTATCGTCTGCGTAGCAGTTGTAAGAAAAGCTGTGCGAGCGAATGATCAGCCCCAGTGAGGTGGTGTAAATTGAGAAGACAGCGCAGCGGGGGTAGCAGAGTTTTCTGGTTTGATCCAGGTCTCAGTGAGCGCCAGTAGTCCAACAGATAATGTGCTAGCATAAGCAGTGATGAAGTCAGCTTTGTTGACTGCCGACTGGCAGTTCCATGACCCAACAGACAAGTGAACAGATGTGGGTGGTGCCTATTTTAAAGGCTTAAGGGTTGCCTGGTTTCTGTGCCTGATGGCATGATACCTCTTGCGTTTACCGGAGACAATAGGAACAGCATGGTAGCACATGGCTTGAGTGTAGTTGCAGCTGGCAGCTTTAGGTGAGTAGGTGTGCCTCAGGATGGGAAAAAGCTTCTCTTTTAGGCAGCCTTGCTCAGTGGACTCGTACTGTTAGACTCGCTGGTCTTTACCCAAGGAGCCGACACTTACGCTGACGCTTCAGTGGTAGGTTTCACTGAAGTAGTGTGGTCTAATTGCACACAGGTGTTGGGCACTACGATTGATTGCACCCAGCTGAGATCGCCCTCTGGATTAACAAGAGAAAAGCTTGGTTTCAGTGGGTGGGACACACACCCAGTTGTTTGATCTCGCTCAGCCAGCCTTCAGATTCAAGTGGATTGCTCGGTAAAAGTGCAAAGAAATAGCACCTCAAGAGTAGGAAAGTTAGAGTAACGTATCACCTCATCGTTGCAACTCTTAGTTGTAGGCACAGGAAAATGTTCTACTGACCTAACTTTGGCCTGGACCAGAGCTACACGGCCCTGCCCCACTACACGTCTCAAATACGTCACAGTTGCCCTCGCAAACTCACATTTTGCCAAATTTATAGTCAGACATGCCTCAGACAACCTGTCAAACAAAGCTCAAATGCATTTAAGATGAGTGTGCCATGTGTCACTATAAATAACCTTAACATTAACCTTTTCGCTTAATCTCCTTAACAGATACAACACAATCAAAGATTTCCTTAAGGGAAGAGTCACTCTGCTGTTCCTCTAACAACTCAGTTTTTGACACAGATAGCAGAAAGTCAGACAGTGATGGAGCCATAAAATCAACTTCACTCCCATCAGATTTCCCCTCAGATTCAGCTTTACTCATAGCTCGTGTACTTACACAGGCTGAGAAAACTCCAGGTAAGTTATCGGCGAGATGGTCAACAGACTTAACTGGACAAGATGTAACAACTGGTAAGGGAGGAGAGTCAGCAGAAACACGGCTACCAGCCAGCCCATTACCCAAAATGAAATGAATCCCCTCAATGGGCAATGCTGGACGCACACCTACAGCTACCTCTCCCTTTACCAGCTCACAGTCCAGGACCAACTTATGTAACGTTATGGGCAAAACAGTTAAACCCATTCCACGGCTTAGTATACAGTCACCCATATCAGTTTCTTCTGACACACGGCAACACAGATCGCACAATATAAGAGTCAAAGGCCCCTGTGTCCCTCAGGATTTTTACTGGAAACCTTAGCCTCACTTCCTGGCAGTGACACAGACCCATCTCTATTAAAAAGAGCATAAGCTGCCATCTGACATCCGGTTCAAGCTCCGTTGTAAGCAGCTCATATACACATGTAAATGACAAAATCAAGCGGGGCCCACTCCTGTCATGGGCCTTAGTGTGGCTGCACTGTCTGCACTGTAATGTTACGTCCCTGAGGAGAGCTGTAACTTGATTACAGCTATCATTGTAATAAAACTATGAAAGAACTTAGCATAGCATCGACCTGAACTCCATTCAGAAAACAAGCATTTTAAAAGTTGTTTGCTTGTCATCTTGCTGACAGACCTGACACGACTTCATATGTTTAGCAAATCGGCATCATGATGTTGTTATTTTAGCATCAGTTTAATCCATTTATTTCAACTAAATCACAGAAAAAGGTTTGTTTTGGGTTTATACAGCTTTTGTAATGGCGGGTTGTGTTTATTTGTGTTATCACATTGTGCGTGAGCACTTGTGCGAGTAGTCATGCTGTCATACTCAGGCAATAAATGTGTGAAACTGGCATTAGGGTCAGCACAAATTGATAGACTCTGCTAAGTATTTACGCTACGGTAGCATTTTTCGACACTTTTATGCTACTCAGTGTCTAGATAAATGAAATGCCTTGTGAAGAGCAGGTCAGCTATTTAAACAGAAGAGAACCAGCCTTTCACTTTGCTCAAATCTGAAAACATCTGATTGGATTAGAAATGGATTTTTATCTCTATCATTTATTATTTATTCAGATTGAGTTCCTGCACTTTGTCAGAGATCAGCTGTGCTTCTCTGGCCTCAGCTCTGAAGTCCAACCCCTCCCATCTGAGAGAGCTGCAGCTGAGTAACAACTACAGCCTGCAGGATTCAGGAGTGAAGCTGCTGTGTGGTTTTCTGGAGAGTCCACTCTGTAGACTGGAGACTCTGAGGTCAGTTCACTTACTCTCTGTTACTATTGTAGATCTGATATGTTTAATTAACAATTGAATGTAATTTATGTTCATACATAACTTCCATCCATAAAGTTGTGAATGTCCTTTT